TATATATGTTACATATTAACCATATTTATAGAGGGTGACCCTTCCAGCGTAGGCCTATCCTAGATGGTCGGCTGATATTAAGGGACCCTGTTATATAAATGAAATTAATGTGATGCTTTAATCACCGAAGTCTCCATGAGTTGTTTTTAGTCGTGAGAAAAAATTTATGTCTAACTGTCATTCGCTGGTATAATATAGTTTCGTTACCGTATTTTCATTCTCCGTACTAGGCCTATTATTACCTCGCCATTCCTATGACATACGCCTATTGTTATGAGAAAATGGAAGAGAACAAGTTTCTCTTTTTGTTTGTAGCTTCAATAGGCTTACACATGACGTCGTTAACGTATGTCTCTGCTGATGAGATTGATTCGTAACATTACGTATCAAGGGCATGCTTACCCCCACCCCCAGACCGCAAACAATAGGCCTACATGCCTATGCCTCCTATATGACATACCTTTATAATATTCGATTAGATATTCCAAACTCTTCACATCACACCGCACACGAGATCTGGATATTTTCGAATAGTTGTGTCATTGTGCTGCTTTTGACAAGTGGGATTGATTTTTTTTTTGTTTATTCAATATATTTTCTATCAAATCACTGCCATCCACAATGTCAATATATTCTCTCAGAACAATTGGTTGTAATCTAAGGTTATCTGTTTCCCTTCCCTATGGCCTCAATTGGAACTTTAAACCTTTTGAATTTGGAATATCAAATTTGTCAAAAATCGTTGTGCTACTAGTTCAACACGCGTTTTAAACCGCCAGTCCTATCATGCCTTATCTAAAGAAATGTTAATTTTTGTTATTGATGTATCGATCGATCGAACACTGTATGGTGTACCTATTGTTCTGTAATCAGCTGGCACCCGGATATTTGCTGACTCTGGGTTTTTCCAACAATGTTGTAATTTCCAACCTTCAGTCCTATTATTGACCTTTATACTCCGCCGGGTAGAAAGGCATATTGAAAATATTAAAATGCTAAATTACATAGAAGCATACCTTCTCGAAGTGATCCCTTTCTATATTCTTTGCCTATATGAATTATATAAGATTGGCCATATTCATTTTGCAATGCTTGAGTAATTCATAGGATCAATATTGAGTTGGCTCGAATATAATAATATAACTTTTAATCTTATCCCATTATATTTCTGCACTAAGATTTCTAATAAATCAATTCTAGTGAGTATGATTCCTATAGCATAAACATCTAATATGAATTCTTATAAAATTCGGATTCAGACTAAATCCAATATTGCTAGGCCTACTTATTATTATGTTAAAATTCCGATTCATTTATACATATTTCTATGATCCTATTATATTTACAGGATAAGGATAAATTTCAAATATGATCTATACATTTCTATACATATTTCGATTAAACCAAATATGAATAAGAGATTCCAAATACAGGTTTTCCTCAAATTAAAGACCACTCCAATGATTATATCACAACTCAAATGTTTAATGCATTTTTTTATATTGTTGTTTCATGCTATCGGATGAATATTCAATGCCTCTGTATGTATTTTGAGGGCATCTGAATATCAAATGGTCAACAAAGTCAGCTCGAAGATTTTTCTCTACTTTAAATAAATATGAAATAAAGTAAAATAAAAAATATTCTTATTATAGAATTCTAAAATTTATCATGAATTTCTAATAAAATTCCTATGCAATTTACGAATTCATCTGGGCCTCTTCTATACCCGGTTCTATTACGGCTGTCAACGGGCAAATTTGGCCAAGGAGCCATTTAATCAGGCCACACGAAAAAGCAAAATATTTAAGAGTTCACGACCAAACGCAACTCCTGAGCAGTGGCATAACGCCTATGCGCTCTCGTGCGGCGGTCCGCAGGCGCAGGGCCCGACCCGTAGGGGCCTCGGGCCCCTCCCATAGGGTCTTCGCTCTTGCATACTGATACAAAAGAGTTTTGTTGATACATAACAGCATATTGTCTGACATCGACTAGGACATATATCATTATATCCAGGTGTCATAATCATAAATTTTCTTTCCCCAGCCCCAACCATGGTGGGGCTGAGGTAGTATGATACCCTCCATCTGTGAAATAGACACCCTCTATTTCAAATTTCTGGATCAGTCACTGATACCATATAATTTTTTCCATAGTTAAAATGCAATGACAACAAATGATTAAAAAACGCGCACATCTCCCACCGGCCCCAACGTTACGTCACTGCTCCTGAGCCGTTTACTAGGAGACAAAATAATCAGGGATGGTTTGTTGATGGAGGTGCGCAAATTTTAGCATTAACAAATAGAATTATGAAGTGCCGGTAAAGCTTCCTTAGATAAGACTATGTACGGTATCCAATAACAATGACAATGATAAAATGAAGTACGGTAGTATAGTAATAGAAAATATATTAAATTTCGAATACAATTACATCAAAGCAGGGATGTATCCAGGGGTTGGGGTGGGAGCTATGAGCCGTATCCCACCCATTCGTACTCAGTGTTAATATATATTTTAAACCTTGTTTCTTGCTAGCCAGTTCAGATTCTTAAGGATAATCAATTTTTCACTATACGTCTTAAATCCCGGAGCCATGTCTTTAACAGAAATGTGATATTTAAGGTTCAGTTTGGTTTATATCCTTTTGCAAGCTTTTATAAAGTTTCGTTTAATACTACTAGTAATAATAATAACAATGATGACGATGATAATGATAATAGATAATATGCCTATTAAAAAGTGAAGGAAACTGTGCTAAAGGCGAAAAAGAAATTAGTAATTTGTCCAACCATTATAATTATTATAATAGTTAAAGCGTAATAAGCTATAGTTAGCTCCAGTCGGCACCTCACTCAAAGTATGTCTTGGTGACTGCTGACGAGAGAGGGTGCATAAATTTGTTTTCAGGTTGTGATTTGTTTTTCATGAACATTATTCGTTACAATGGCTTATCCAGGATGTGCCCGGGGTGCCTGAGTACCCCTTTAGAGGTTGGAAAAAATAAAGTACCCCTTTTTAAGTGTTAAAAAATAACTGACAAAAATGTTAATATATAAAGTGTCATTTTCGGGCATTTAGAAGCCCCAGTTCTTAAAATTTACTCATCTCAGCCTCAAGGTGGATATAATAATTTTCGTAGATTGTATGTAAGTGCCATTTACGGCATCTGAAAGTCTAAAATTCTTACAATTGTCTTACCTCAGTCTCAACCATGTTGGGTTGAGATGGATAGTAGCTTTCATAAATTTGAAGTATCCAAGTGCCGTTTTCGGGCATCTGTAAACTCTCAAATTCTTAAAATTTATACACCTGCGCCCATTAAAACCATGGTGTAGTTCAGGTGTTGTAGTTTCTGTAAGTATTTAAGTGCTGTTTTCGGGCATCTATACAAGTCTCAATTTTTTTTTCAAAACACCTGAGCTCCAACCATGGTGGAGCTCAGGTGGATGTGGTAGTTATAGTTGTAAGTATACAAGTGCGACGTTAGGGCAACTATATAATTAATTAGTCTTTTTTTTAACTCAATTTGTCAAAAATATTACTATTCAAAATTATAATGTATTAAATTTTATTCTGCTGTTGCTTCATTTTTGTACTCTCTTCCTTTGTATTTTGTTAAAGGGTAAACCGAGACAAGCTCGACTTCTAGGTTGTTCCTCATGAAATGCCTTGTTTTATAATGTATACTTTGGCCATGATGAAATAAATGTTTTGATGACTTAATTTGATTTGAATAAAAAGAATTAATGGGTATTTTAAGTTCCATTTCCGGGCATCTAGAAGTAGGCCTATACTGTGGCGCTGACGTAGTGTGGACTCACACTTTGATCAGCACCCGCGGCGCCTTCTTTAAATCTTGGATACTTCACTGGATTATGACTATTTTGAATAAAGAATGTACTGTATATTACAATTATTGTTAGGCCTACATATTATTTATGATATGTCTTTGCAATTTTCACTTTATCTGTAAATGTTTGTCCACAATCCCTCAAACAGTCCCGGAAAACATTCAGAATGCGCTACCTCACAGGATGCCCCTGGACCCCATTGGGACCCTTGGTGGCCCCCAGCCGTAGCAAGGGAACACCCCTCCCAAACTCACCCCCGCTGGTGTTACATACCTTGCAAGACGCACACCCCCACCCCCTTCCTCCTTGAAAAATCGTCAGTGCAGGAAAGGCAGAAAGAACATCATATAGCCTATTTTATTATTATTATTATTACCGTAATTTAGACCTATGGTGTCTTCGTCGTGGTTACGTGGCCACAAATCCCACTTGGGGACCACTCTGCCACGGGATTGCAACGTGTAAGACTGAACGTGGACGTGAGGATATTTACACATTTTTTTATATTTGTTTATATCATTATTTTTTTTATAAATTAATTTATAAAAACGACCTTCAAGAAAATTCACCAAACATTTAAAAAATAAGAAAGTTGAAATAAACCAATAAAACTAACTTTGGTTTGGTTTTCAATTGAAAAACAATATATTTTGGTGTAATAACGTTAGTAACATCGACTTGAGGCCTCGGATTGGCTACCCCGCCACCACTCACTATAGGCTTGGTGTTTGTCAATAAATTGCCAGCCCACCTCCATCCCCAAAAATCCAAAAAACCAACCAAATCAAGTATCTGTTTTATTCTTAAACATTGTTTCCTATAGATACTTGTTATTTTGTTTGATTATATAATATAAGTATCTATAGGTAACAAATGTCTATAGACTTATTCCTTTGTTTGATTATATTTTACTCGGGTAAAATGGGTGTTTCTTCCAACCACATAACCTGCAGGTAAGCTGTTCCAATTCGTGATGGTTTTTGGAATGGAGAACTTTCTAATAATTGGAATGGAGAACTTTCTAATAATTGCATTCTTGATTTTAACTTCTAAAACTAGGTCTAGGCGTAGATTTAAAAAAGAAGGAAAGAAGAGGGCACAATACGATTAAAATAAAATTTTAAAGCAGGAAGTAATAAAAATACTCAAGCAATAAAACAAAAGAAAATACGGAGTAATAGGCCCAATTACTTTTATTAAACAATAAAAATGTTTGTATAGAATGGTTGACCATCACTGGTATACTGACCCCCGTTTAGAGCAGCTAGCTCGCAGTCAGCTAAACGGTGGGAAATGCAAGTTTCAAAAGCTGTTGGTCCTGTGTGGAAAATGGTCCATGTGCATGTTAAAGAACGCAGTGCACACTTCGGAAAAGAGTAATTGTCCCGGTGTATTTTCGTAATTCACCACCACTTGAAATTAAGTCTCAAGATTTTCGTGGGTTATCATTGTGTATCACTGAAGAAATCCAATCCAATCTGATCAATTCTCATAAACTCTGAATTGAAGGTGAAATAAAATTAAGAAATTGTTTATAAGAATAGTCCTTGTTTGTTTCTCGTTGTGTAAAATGACAGTGTTTAGGCCTACACTACGATGAGTTTCAGGGGATAATTACCCCCTTCACTGACCACCATGAAGTCGCGTCGGTGCATTTGCCTTGAAGGTCACACACACGACAGCAGTATTTATTACAACTAAAACTCGCACATTTTAAGAATTAAACTTATTTTATCACCATTCATTAGTGTAAAACACCAACATGCTGAAACACACTCATACTGCCTTCCAGTACACTGTAAATAAGATGAATTTTCTAAAAAAAATATAAGCTATTTAAACAAATTCAAATCTGGCCAACTTTCGATAAATTTGAACAAACAAATGGCAGCAAGTATCAGATGACCTCTTATCAGCCACAATGAAGATCAGGTGTGTGAAACCTATTTTTCCGATAATCAATATATAATTTGGCATTAGGCCTACTTTAGGTTTAATATAGATCTGAATTGTAAACAATCTAATCACGATTTGACAGATTATCAATAATCATTAGAGAATCCTGGATAAGTTTTGATCTCTGTGCTCACTGAGGAGGTCTGCAACACAAGTTAGCTTTCTATAATAGTACATACAATGATATGACTATGAGGCCACTTCACCACAAACCTCTCCCTATCATAAAGCTATACTGCAAGACAAGAGAGGCAACACTTCCCCATGCTACTAAACAGTGTGTATTTTAAATAGCCTAACCATCCAAACCTAAAGACCACGACGAAGAATGTAGGCCCATATTTCAAATACTGGATAGGTTGTTTTCAATTATTTAACATAATTATGACTTGGAGTAAATTAAGTTTGAGAAAACCATCTTTACTTTACACAAATTGTATGCTATTTACATGGAATAACATTTTAAAACTGCAGTCAGTGGCGAGTGAGTGAGGGTAGAAAGATTGCCAGATATAGTACCGATATTATAAAGTGAAAAGTAATGCAAGCATCAGGCTTACAGGTAGCAAGCATGATTAGGCTGAGTGAATAAACAGCGTGAACAAAGAGTGAACAAGAAAGTCAAAAAAATAATACAATATATATATATATATA